TGAAGCCTAATGACTTGCACTACCTGTGGCAGGATCCACGCTGGCAGTCTTACAACCTGAACTCTGAGGCTCCCCTGAAGTCTGCGAAAGATCTATACATACGATGCCCTGGAACTACTTACGCAACATGCCATCTTGAGCGAGCCAAGCTAGATCCGACCGTCTCTTCCGGATCACAAGGATCTTGTTCGATCACAGAGAGGATCCAGGGCTCAGACTTTTGGAACGAATGCACCCTCAGTTTAGTACCAAGAATGCCACTCAGGGGAGGGCTAGGGATCATCCATCGCCTCATCCATATCTCTCGCTGTCCTCCCGAGCAAAACAGAGGGGCCATATGCCACTTCTCTCTGGAGCCACCCAGCTTGCAAACAAAAAAACCTCATGCAGATTTTTATCGCTTCATCCGATGCACCCCGAAAACTCAAACACGAGGGCCAGAATCGCCCGCCCGGACTGTATATATCAAATTCCCCCTGGCAATGTCCTCCCAGGAAATGGGCAATGTGCCACTCTGCATTTCCCGCAGCCACAGCCACAGCGACGGACATGCCGCCCAAATCACATGGTCGAAAGGCGAGAAATACATACACCTCGTGCAGCTGGACATCCGAGCTTTTGGACTGCATCGTGAGAGTCTACGGTGACAAACAACTGTAGGCGAGGTAGGTGTTGGTTCGCTCGACTGCTGAACCACGACACTATACATCACTATACATTACTACACCGTCCACACCTCGTCTGCCGCCCTTGCGACAAGCCCTCCAGTCCGCCCGTAGCATTTGTGCGATGGTGGCCGTGCGTGGTTCGGGCCGGCGTGTGAGGATTAGGTAATCTGCGCGCCTGCAGCGGTAGGCTGTCCGGACGGTCGGCCATGGTGGTGGCCGTGGGTTGTTCCAGTGCTGGCTGGTCCCCGATGTATGAGCAGTACGTAAACACTTCGCAGTCATGCTGGTTCCCGCTTGGAATCCCTCAGGCTGGGCAGTAAATTGGGAGAACTCGCTCTGTCTGGGCTCAAGTGCCAGGATCACACGTTCGACATCAAGCCTCAGGGTCAGACCTGTCCAGGCCATTTAAAGAAGCTGGGGCTGCCTTTCCTTTTATCTGCACATGATCGTTGCAGGCAAGCTTCGTTAACTCGCTACTTGTGCTTCTCGTTCTTGCACCTGTCCTGGCTGCCATGGCGAATGAATCGAGGAGGGAGGTAAAGAGCGCTGTCAAGTCTTGCTAAAGCAACAAAAAAGCAAAGCTGCGAGGATGGTGGGCGTTGGCCTTTGAGCTGTATAGCGTGAAGATCTCAACAACCCTTGAGGTTAAACCGTCACTGGACCGGTAGACTCGCTCACATAAGAACGGACAGTCACGGTGATTATCGCGCGGGTGCGTAAGATCATGACACAACCGCGACAAGCTCAAGACAGGAACCACCTCGAGCAAAAAAAACACTATTTGGTGATGTATGCTGAAAAAATGCGTGCATAAATTTTGTGTGCATTCAGCAGCACTAGTACAGTCAGTCACTCAAATCGGGGTCCCTGTTTTCTGAGTCTTGCCGGTTCTGGTGAGTGGTGGCACTGCACTTCAGACAGCACGATTGCGAAAGCCCAAATATTTAAGCATGACAATCATCCGTCCTGCTTGCCTCGCGGAAGCCATGACGGCCTCTGTCGAGTTCGGTCATTGATTCGGGGTTGAGTCTTGTAGCTAGAGTAGAGGTCTTTGCAGATGTCGAACTTGAACTGCTTCAGGAAGATTAGAAGCCGATGAGTAAAACGACTTTACGCTGCTACCAGTGCAATGCCACCGCTCGCTCAATACCTCTTTCTATCTCCCTCCGTCTTGTGAAACTGTGATCTATGCCTGGCTATAAAGCGCCAGCATGTGTCAGGCTTTCAACACGGGTTGGTTCGTCTTCTGCCTAGGACTCCATCAAGGCCCACAGCCCGCACATATCGTTTATCGTTTCAGATGCACGCTCTGGCGAGGCACTCAGGGACTGTAGGCCCGCACTACTCATCGAACTCTATAGAACCTTCAGAGTCGGAGCGCATAGTCGGATGCAGCCACGATGCCGAGACATTGCCTGCCGAGGTGGTGGGAACGGCACTTCGGTACCTCGTCACGCGGGAGAGCAGCGAGGGCAGGGAAGTGTCTATGCTAACGGTTGGAAAACCAGGTGCCGGGTCGATTTTTCCTGTGATACGGATCAACCCCGAATCTGGAAGACCACTTGCTGCTCTGGTCATGCAAAGGGTCATCTTTTTCCCCCCGGACAATGTGACGCACACATACGCACACTCTGCTGCGTTCTAACGTTCCGGGGCCCGCGGACGTTGCCCGGGACGCGGCTTTCGCGGAGCGCTGCGGTGAAAATATATCGCCCTCGCATCCAATCATTGAGTAGAGATACTAAATACACAGGATCCGTGCGGCCACATCCTGGAGACAAAGAACAGCATTTTACTGGTTCTCTCGGTATTTGGAGAAAGTCTTTGGCCGTGCTCCGGAATTCTGGTGGTCTCCCCGCGGCGTCCTGCTGGACTTTTTGATGGTGCAACGCTCTCTTGGTGGTATGCTGGGGTTTCGTCCTGGCAGTTGCTGTCTTGGTGGGGGGGGTGCTTTTTGCGGTGCTCTGTAGCTATTTGGGGATCTATATGCTGGTGCGATGCGCTATTGTCTTAGAGATTGAAGTCAGTGAAGTCCTACTGAGGCAACCGAGGCACCGAAATGAAGCAGCATGGGCTTCATCGTCACCGGAACGGCCTCAGGCGCCAGAAAAAATGCGGGACTGAAGCACGGGGGCTCGATTGTGCTGGTGATGTTCGAAGGCCTTAATTGACTTATTTAAGGTCAAGGAGTTGTAGGTCACTGGTTGGCACGCTTTCATCTTGAATCTTCTCAAACTTGGTACACCAGAAAGCCCTCATTTTACTGGAGCAGCACTCGAACCGTAGCAAAACAGTGGCCAGAGCTGTGCTCATCCTGTCAAAGGTGACAGGAAGGACAGGTGCACCAACCGAGTGCTCGTCATGATGATGATGATCATCATCATCATTATGTTTCACAACTTGGACCAAGTCGTTTTAGAGGAATGTGTCGTAATGTCAATGTTGTTTCGAGCCCCTGGGACGGAGCTTGTGGCAAACGGGTTCGTCGCAAAGGGGAGGCTTCCGTTACAAATCTCTACCCGCAACAAAAGACCCGGGGCCTGTCCATACTCGGCGGCAAACATACACCGTTTGCACCGGAGACAAATCGACATCAACTGCCAATACAAAGGGTCATCGGAAGAAGAAGAGCCTGTCGCCCGTGCCCAGCGACAGCGGAACCGAAGAAAGGGTTTGCCATTGCCTTGCCCCAGACCCTTGACGCTAGACTTCACCAGACTGGACCTTCTGCACCACACAGCCTTTGCACCAGCTCGAGACCCCGAATCCCGGGAGAGTGGAACTCCGATTGTGCCAAGCTTCAGAATGCATGATGGAGCTGTCACCTTGCACCAGCTTCAACTTTGATTGGAGGTTGGAACTCTGCTGGTTGTAAGCAATCTCTTGGTCCACCTTTCTGCTTGCAGCTGGGCCAGTCGCAATGTGTCGACGGAGGGGCTTTGGAGATCCTTTGGGCTTGAAGGCTGAACCCAGCCATCGCCTGTGACAGCTCGCTTCGTAGTGAAGTAGTGGTGCTGGCGCAGGCCAATATGCGAAGGCCCATTTGCGGCTGACTGGGCTGTCGAAATCTTGCGGAGGCTAGCTACCCATGTCAAGGGGTCTCCGACTCTACATACAGCACATGCCCAGTTCTTCCGCCGCTGAAGCAGAGAAAGGAGAGAAAGCAACCATCCACCTTAAACGCAAACTTCTCTGCGCCTTATTCGCAGACTTGCGGCGAGCTCAAGACTGGGTTCAGCAAGAGAATCAAATCCATGATTCAGCCGAGTTACGGTACCGGTTGATAAGGGCGTCAAGGGACGCCATGGAAGAGTTGGCCTTGAGTAAGCACTGTTGCAGCGACGACCACTAAGCCCCATACCTCCCGCCTGCACTGGCCGTGCACAATTAGCAGTACTTTAGTCTGGCTGATGATGGATCCACCAAATCCCAGCAGTTCGTCAATATCACAATTTCTGGGGACCCGTGCTCTATACGGCCCAAACTCCTCAATGGTTCCGAACCAAATTTGGAAGGAGCTTCACAGACGATGGCTTAGCGAGAATTTCCTGCTGGTGGCTGTCCGGTGAGTCATCCCTTTTCTGCATGTCCACCCGACCAGAAACTGCAGCTAGAGAGCATGCACGGTGGCTTTCGTAGTGCCCTTTCGGCCTTCCCGCGACTGCAGCTTTGGGATGACAGCTGGACTTCAAGGGTTTCTTAGAAAGGTTGGCTGGGAGTGAAGAAGAGGAAGCTGGACCAGTCCAGTGAATGAACAACTCCCGGGTCGTGGGCATGATCAGAGACGCATCAGGCCTGGGATCACTCCATATATTAGTTCGCATCCGACATGCGGCAACTGCTCGGGTATCGACCGTTCTGCATTGCACATGACATTGCCAAAGCTGCGCCTGCAAGCGTACAACCTTCAATGTTGGAGGTGAACTTGGCCACGGCATCCAGATTCCTCCTCAAGCAGAGTTCGTCAGCTCAAATCCGGCGTCGCGCTGTGGGTTTCAAAACAAAAGCTGAAACCTGCACCTGCAATCAACACAGTAAAGGCAGCTACGTTTAGAGCCCGGAAACATAAGCGGCGTGCGATGAGCTTGAAGTCAGTGATGTTTCTGCAGATGCACCGCCGTGTAAACATTGCTTAGCACTACTGCATTTGCCAATCCACAAGGGCAACCAGTATTCTCGGGCGGATAGGGGAGAATTGAAGCTGAAAACATGTCTATCTCTCTATCTCTCTCTCCCTCCCTACTTATCTCAAACCAAACTCTGTCAGACGGACTCAGAGCCAAATCGCCCAAGAGATCGGACTTGCAATGCCCGTAACCATCACACCGGTGTCTATGGAGCAAATTGCGTGATCGGCTTTGGACTCTGCCTCCCCCGAATTGCTGAACGGCTGATGTGAAGGCCGAGCGGCACGTTGACGAAGGCATAGCCCAAAGAGAAGCCGTCACGCCCACGAATCGGGAAGTACAGGAAGTTCCTGATATTCCGTCTGTGGAAAAGCGCAAAAAGAGACCCACAGATGTGGGTTAATATTACCCTGGACTCTACCCTTGCGAAAAGGGGGTAGGCACAGCCAGCCCCAGGAAGTTCTCTATCTTGGAGAAACCTCCGTGCACCAGATGAGCTGTAGTAAAAAAACCAGCGATCCCTCGTCGTCAGTTGCCGAAGTACTTACGCAAAAACAGCCGGTGAAGCTTCAGTTTGCATCTGTGATCATGTCCTTTAGAAAGGCTCCGAAAAACGAATTCCCCACTTCAGAACAGTCGCAGCACCGGTCACGAAAGCGAAGCCATGCATGCCCTGCCCTATGCCTTCGATAAAGAGTCTTGGACAATGCTCAGATGTGAAACAACGCCTCAAGGTCTTTATGGCAATACGTCTCTACCTGCTCCAGCGGCTGTGTGCCGCAAAGCAGGACCAGGGAGGACCAAGAGGATACAAAACACAAGAGAAGGCTAACAGAGCTGCAGGGCACTCTCGGTAGGAGGACCCTGCCGGGACCTGTGTACACTGTGCCGGTGTTTGATGGCAACTGCGATTTTCCACACAAGCCGGTCTTGTGATCGACTACATTCACGCTACCTGTTCATATTTCCCACATATGCAGCTCAAGATTCACGAATTCGAGGATGTGCAGCTTTCGGAAGAGATCGAGCAAAGCTTGTCTGGTGTAATCACCTGGGTACCAACTTGCAAAGCAAGTCTAGAAATGACACATGTACCGACAATCCCACAACGACTAGGTCAGCATGGTTCCATGTAACGAGAGGCTTTGCTAGAAGAGGTTTTCAGTGCCAAGCATGGAAAGCACCATTACTCAAAGACGCCCATCTAGCAAGCCTGTGCTGACGCACAGAATCAGCAACCTCTCCTAAGGTTGGGTGCGACTTCTCGATGCCGGTAATGCCACACATGAAACCCATTTAACTGACGACTTACCCTCTCGCGGCAGTGGTTGATCGGTCAGGGTGGTAACCTCCAAAATTTGAAGCTAAGGTGCCTGGAATGTTGCGCAGGACAAGAGATGTCTGCGTCATGCTCTGGGCGACCTGATCGTCCTTTGCGGAAACGTCGGGATGATCTGGCCCAGATTCTGGGAAGCCTCCACTGGCAGCATCGGTGCTCTTTTCGGTGGTCTGTTGGCTCTGACATTCTGCTCCGTCGTCGCGGCAACGGCAAACGTCCTGCCACAGAGTTGGCTGCAACAAGAGACAACTGAAAAAACGGACCAATGAAGATCTCAAGGTGGACAACAAGATCGCCGATGCACTTTTATGAGTCGACAGGGCTGTAGGCCCTGTCTTTGCACCACTATCTGTCTCAGCGCAGCGGATAGCTCATGCAGTCTCCCCACAGAGTACTGATACGGGCTCCTCGATGCTAATCTTCAGCCGAGCATATCTCGTACAAGCGTTGGACATAGCTAGAGCTACGACCAGCTACCAGTAGCAGCATGAAGATGGCTTAGAAAAGTAAAAGCTTGTCATCGAAACTTTGGGCAAACCCTGGTGGAATTCGGCCTGTGACCCCGGAGACTTCAGCGACTGTACCAAAACGGCAGCCTGGCAGGTCGGTCATAGCGGAAGGAGTAGCAACGGTGAAACTGTGAAACATCGGAACAGTGAGGCTTCTGATAGGTGTAATAGTGATGCTGCGAGTCGGAATAATGGTAGCTATGGTATTAAGAAAACTAGGAGTAACAATAGAAGTAATAGTAGCATCTAACCGTAGTAATCGAAGTTAATAACAATAAGATTGCAAGTTATACTAACAATCCTAATGATTGTACTAGTGGTAATAATAACCCTCGTCATAATAGTCATACAAGCATGCTAAGCATAAACGTACTGCTGAATCACGTTTTGTTGCCCACGCGGCACATTTGTAGGACTTCTGGTGGGAACAGGTATGCAACAACTCAAAAGGTTACATGCACTTGCGATGCATGTCCAGAATGAATGTGAAATCCCACAACCACAAAACAAATGTACTACTAAGAATATCAATACGCATAGTGGCAGTAGTAGTACGAACCAATTATAATGGCAGTAAGCGTAGTAGTACAAAACAACAGGAACAATAGTCAGAACCATAATAGTAGACATGCTGAAGATAGTAAGTTAGCAATCACAGCAATAAGAAGAATAATGGCAACATTCAGAACATTGCAAAAACGTTCCACTCCAAGCACATCAGCAATTGACCTTGCAGAAACTACGAAACAGCAAAACGCTGGGGGGATGCGGCCCATATGAGCTTGATATACGGCGATACCATATAAAGTATACATCGTCTATGTACTGTGATTTAGCTATGCATGACGTGTGATTTTTTGTATAGTATGTTCACATGATGTACTTTGTAACGGAATGCAGCACAACATGTACATGTCGTAACATGCCTTTGTACGTCATTATGTCCTCCAACGCAGCAAAATACTGTACTGAAGCACATGAGGCTCTGCTGCGTAAGGCAATACAATAACATACGACACCAGAATGTGTTATCCTAGAGCCTATAGTGTTATGTTACAATGCAATACCATCCAAACCTGAGCTCTTCTTATCATAAACAAAGCTCAAGCCGTCAGATTTTGCTTTGATTATGATTAGTATGTACAGCCTTCCTGCCTTCATCATCGTTCCTGATGGAATGAAGACTGTTCTTGTCACGCATTGCCGTGCTGGCCTTACTGCCTGATCCGGATAGCAAAGCATTGTGCATCCTCTACGTATGTAACCTGTGGAGCAGCCTTGGTGCCGAGGGGGGAGTCTTAAAAACGGCTTAGCCTGGCTTCCTGCCTTCGTCCTCGTTGTGGTTATGCTGCCTGTGTGAGTTGATAGCAGACCATGTTAAATCAGCACACAAGCATAAAGCAACATCATCTGCTGCAATATTGCATCATCTGACTTACCATTCTCAATATGTTAAAAGCAACCCATCGCAACAAGATCTTGCTAAACTGTATGAGGCCATGTTGTGAATACTATACCTGTCATGTTGTACTACATCTGTGTGTACTATTTCATCGTCTGTGACCTGATACTTAGCCTGCGCTTATCGTAAAGGTCATATGTTGGTTAGTATGTACAGCCTTTTCTGCTCTCATCATAACACCGTGCCGCAAGTAAATGCAAGATAACTATTACCAGTACATAGTACATAGTGTAAAATCATTCATGAGCCTAGGGGTATTTCTCAGCAGGGGTACTTCTCAGCCACCACCGAAGATTTAAGAAGATTGTTGAATTATTTGGAAGATTGTTGAAGAAAAACGAATTATTTGGAAGATTGTTGAAGAAAAATGAATTATTTAGAAGATTATTGAAGAAAAACAAATTATTTGGAAGATTGTGGGTTTCAATTTGAAGCTTAAACACGGTTTAGGGAAGTTTAGGGCTCATGGTTTAAGCTTCCTGGCACGGCTCGAGGACCTGCCAAAATGGAACACCGAGGTTTATTATTCGAAATTCTTCGTTGTATCTGCGGAGAACTTCAAACACTTTTCTAGACTTGTGCTTGTTTCCCCCAGCTGAAACCGCCAGATGTGCTCAGTGTAGCTGCCAAAACTGGCGGGCATGCAGCTGCCGCTTGGTAGAGCAACATACACCAAACCCCATTCTGAACATGTTGGCACTCTGCCTTCGACAAAGACAACCCAACAGCAAGGTTCTCTGTGATAACAGGCATGAATGAGACGGAGGAACACACCAGCTCAACAACACAGCCATGTCCCAAGAACGGCCTCCCTTCTTTGTCCGGTATTGCTTCCGGTGACTTGCATGACTGCTTCGATGTCACCAGGTCAGGCCCCAGCCGGCGCATTAGCCCATGTGCCCGGCTGTCATCTATCCCCTGCCCCTGGGATAGGTTGGCCTCAAGGCTGTGACACAGGCAAACCGAACGCCTCACACCTGGCCAATGGTGTGGGGAGCAACCCCGATGGGGCAGGGGTTTACTCCTTAGGTAAGGCAACCCCGAGGAGGTTCGACTGACACTCTAATTACTGTACTACTGCTCGATATTTGGCCTCCCATGTTGCTGAGGTGGACACTCAAATTATTTGGAAGATTGTGGGTTTCAATTTGAAGCTTAAACACGGTTTAGGGAAGTTTAGGGCTCATGGTTTAAGCTTCCTGGCACGGCTCGAGGACCTGCCAAAATGGAACACCGAGGTTTATTATTCGAAATTCTTCGTTGTATCTGCGGAGAACTTCAAACACTTTTCTAGACTTGTGCTTGTTTCCCCCAGCTGAAACCGCCAGATGTGCTCAGTGTAGCTGCCAAAACTGGCGGGCATGCAGCTGCCGCTTGGTAGAGCAACATACACCAAACCCCATTCTGAACATGTTGGCACTCTGCCTTCGACAAAGACAACCCAACAGCAAGGTTCTCTGTGATAACAGGCATGAATGAGACGGAGGAACACACCAGCTCAACAACACAGCCATGTCCCAAGAACGGCCTCCCTTCTTTGTCCGGTATTGCTTCCGGTGACTTGCATGACTGCTTCGATGTCACCAGGTCAGGCCCCAGCCGGCGCATTAGCCCATGTGCCCGGCTGTCATCTATCCCCTGCCCCTGGGATAGGTTGGCCTCAAGGCTGTGACACAGGCAAACCGAACGCCTCACACCTGGCCAATGGTGTGGGGAGCAACCCCGATGGGGCAGGGGTTTACTCCTTAGGTAAGGCAACCCCGAGGAGGTTCGACTGACACTCTAATTACTGTACTACTGCTCGATATTTGGCCTCCCATGTTGCTGAGGTGGACACTCAAATTATTTGGAAGATTGTGGGTTTCAATTTGAAGCTTAAACACGGTTTAGGGAAGTTTAGGGCTCATGGTTTAAGCTTCCTGGCACGGCTCGAGGACCTGCCAAAATGGAACACCGAGGTTTATTATTCGAAATTCTTCGTTGTATCTGCGGAGAACTTCAAACACTTTTCTAGACTTGTGCTTGTTTCCCCCAGCTGAAACCGCCAGATGTGCTCAGTGTAGCTGCCAAAACTGGCGGGCATGCAGCTGCCGCTTGGTAGAGCAACATACACCAAACCCCATTCTGAACATGTTGGCACTCTGCCTTCGACAAAGACAACCCAACAGCAAGGTTCTCTGTGATAACAGGCATGAATGAGACGGAGGAACACACCAGCTCAACAACACAGCCATGTCCCAAGAACGGCCTCCCTTCTTTGTCCGGTATTGCTTCCGGTGACTTGCATGACTGCTTCGATGTCACCAGGTCAGGCCCCAGCCGGCGCATTAGCCCATGTGCCCGGCTGTCATCTATCCCCTGCCCCTGGGATAGGTTGGCCTCAAGGCTGTGACACAGGCAAACCGAACGCCTCACACCTGGCCAATGGTGTGGGGAGCAACCCCGATGGGGCAGGGGTTTACTCCTTAGGTAAGGCAACCCCGAGGAGGTTCGACTGACACTCTAATTACTGTACTACTGCTCGATATTTGGCCTCCCATGTTGCTGAGGTGGACACTCGGGTGCCGAGCTCGGACCCAGCCAGCACGTTAGCCCATGTGGCTGGCTGTCATCACCAGGTGTCCGCTCTGGTGGTTGGCCCCAAGTCCTCGTCGGTTCCGTCTTCCGCGGTCCCCCAAAGCGACCCCATGCCCGGCCATCGGCATGCAAGCGCGGCTGGTGAATCAAAACTGGACACACCGCGACTTGCTGGTAAGGTTGGTGTGACATAAGATGCCATGCAGGGCCACGCGGGCAACTTCCAGCGATGGGCAAAGTGCTTCAAGACTTTGCCCGCGGGCGCGGGTACGTGGCATAGTATTTAGTAGTCGGGCCTTCCCTGCAATCTGCGCTGAATCACCTGCCGTGGGCACACCACTTTGCTAGGCGAGCACAGAATAAATCCCCAGCGCCGGCCAACGACACTGTCCCGCACGGTCAAGGACCCATAACTCGGGTCCGAGCCCGACTGGAGCGCGGTCTGTAAGACCACGGAGCTGGGGCATGCAGGATGGGTAGGGCGAGTCGAAAGCAAGCAGCAAGCCAACCAAGACATGGCACGTGACAAGGGACCAAGTACATGACATTCTTCGAGAGAACACTTTACCCGGAATGCAAAACCTCAACTCATTGCTAGTGTGCCGTCCAAGCAAACGCTTTCGAGAGAGCCATGGGCAGTGTCATTCTGTCGTCGATCCAAGAGAACAGAAAGCATGTGCTCAGCAGAAAGAGATATAACCTAATCATGGGTTAGCGGCCTCCCCCATTTGCTCTTTTCCTCCCGCCCGTTCGGTTAGTTGGAATGCCGCTTCGGCTGAGGAGTGAGGCAGGCATCATGGCTATGCTGATTTCAGACTGCTGATTTCAGACTGCTGATTTCAGACCCGAAGCCGCTTCGGCTGAGGAGTGGCAGGCATCATGGCTATGCTGATTTCAGACTGCTGATTTCAGACTGCTGATTTCAGACGAAGCTGATTTCAGACTGCTGATTTCAGACTGCTGATTTCAGACAGGTTCAGCAGCGACTACAGCACGAACTCATCGAAGGCATAGTCTGCGAAGCCTAGTAGTTTTTCTTTGGCGGAAG